TTCCAAACCAATAACATCTAAATTAATCATATCATGTATGGCATTAGTCAAAGATCATTCTTATAAAGGAGTATACCACTCCTTAAACAGCACAGAATTGCACTAAGCCATAGTCGGAGAGGGATTTGTCTTGTTAACATCTTAAATTTAGTCAAAAGATGATTATCATAATTTGTTGATAATAGCAATCCTTTTGGGATTGATATAGGATTTATGGAACAAATAATATTCAACTTTGACTTAGCATCCAGTCAATTGCATACGAGAGTCATGATTGTATGCATGAGAAAAACTTCCATAAATAAGCATGCAAACTAAAAGATGTAACTCCAAGAAGTAAACTTCCTCCCTGGAAAATAAAGTCCGGGAAGTAAATATCATTCGAAAATTAAAATTTCAAAAAGTAAAATTAGAAAGTTAAGCTTAGAGGGCAAGCTTAGAGAAGTAAACTTTATGAATAGTCCCTTCAAGTAGTAAAAATAGCAAGGAAAATAAGCAAAGTAAAATCACTTTGCATTCATCATAATTTGCATCCAAAAATAACTTTGCAATCAAAGACACTTTTGGAGTATATGTACTTCTCGGCCACGCAATAAATACTGCGGCCATGAATTAACTTTTCGGGTGCTTCAGGCATAAACTAACTTCTCGGATGCTTCAAGCATGAGCTAACTTCTCAGATGCTTCAAGCATGAGCTAACTTCTCGGATGCTTCATGTTTCTAGCATGCACTAACTTTTTCAGCCATGAATATATTTTCATGAATTACTCAAACATTATCATGACACCAATCATTCTTCATTAATACCTCATCGTTTCATTATCATCATTTATCGCGGTATTTTCTTCAGGCAAATTACCTAGAATCATCAAGATGAGGCGCATTCTTCGACGACCAAATGCTTTGGTGTGCAGCACGTAGGGATCAATGCCCTTCAAACCCACATTGTTAGCAAACCTGCTTCTGGCTAGGATCTTGCTTCGATGAGTTTGGTCGTCCTTGAATATCTTGATCACTTTGTTTCTTATTCTGAGCTCGAAACTCATACCACACCGGTTATAATCTCGACCGCAACCCCTTATAAAGTTACTCAACTGGGTAACATTATGTGCTTCAGGCACCTGTGCAAAATCAACCAGACATGCATTTTGATTATTTATCAACAACTCGTTATCTTTCTTAGCCACAATTAGTGCTAAAATCAGCTTAGGATGCTTCTCATAATTTGTTGTCTTGTACTACTACTGGAGTACAAATTACTCGCATGAAAAGTTGGCAATATCTTTCTAATTAAATATTTCTCTTGAAACTTCTTGTTTCCAGAATTTTAATTGTGAGGCTATTTTATGCAGAGTTGAATTATAGTCAATTACTGACTTATAATCTTAAAACATAAGATTAATCTAGTCAAATTGTGTCTGAGGAAGGACAATAGATGACTACTAGTCAAAATGGTCCTTCAGGGACTTCCACAACGCAATAGGAACTTTTTCAATCAAATACTCATTTGTAAGATCGTAGTTCAAGTAGTGACGTATGAAAATGGGAGCTTGTGCCTTCAGGGCATCGGTGCTCTGTGACTTAGTTACAAAAGTTTGACTCAATTCCTTAGATGCCAAATATATTTCAATATCAAAAGCCCAAGTGAAATAATTGCAATCGACATGAGCGAACTCAATAAATTCACATTTTTCAATGAAAGGCATGATATATAAGATCATCATTTGATGCAACTTTAGGAAGCAATGTGACAACTTGGGGAAAAACCATTATTTTGAATACATGTTCAAGCCATGGATGAAGAAACATCTTTTACATAAATATGCATATATGTTTCTTAGCATTCTAATACAAACACAGCAATCCGATGCAAACATATAATAATGACCGATTATGCATTCGATATCCATAGTAATAGAACATACATGGATACATATACATACAATTTGGCATATAACTACATATATTTACCATTTCAAAGCATCATGGATTATGGGTTCATATAGAGCCTAACTCATATACAAGAATTGAGAGAATAAATAAAGATAATATGTATTTACAAATTCATGTATTTACCCAAATTCTTAACAATGTCTTGATGAGGGGTTCACCACTCAAAACTTGTTAACAAACAAGAAGAATAATCACTCATTTTATAGAAACAAGAATTGAAGGTTCCAAACCAAACTCATAGCCATATATACACATAATATTTATATATAAACAATGACATATGAAAAAGAAAAACAAAATGCACAGGAAAATGAACCAATATTACCGTTCACCGGAGATTACAATAGAGACTCGTGCTGATAACGTGTTGTAATTCGGCATATCAACTCGTTGGTTCTCGCGTGATGTTTGCACGGTAATGCTTGGAGATTGTATGTATATGAGTATATAGAATAGATAAGTAAAAGGGGAGGAAGAACACAATGTATAGAACACAATCACATGAGACCATCTTTTCATTAAGCCTTCACCCTCAATTTATAGGGATGATTACAACATTTCACATCCTTTAACATAAGTAATGAAATAGGTAAAGGCTAACAAAAGGTCACAAGTTTAATTGCCATAATAATAAAATATTTATAACATTTTCAAAGTAATTATATAATAATCGACAACAACACAACTCGTTGGTTCTCGCGTGATGTTTGCACGGTAATGCTTGGAGATTGTATGTATATGAGTATATAGAATAGATAAGTAAAAGGGGAGGAAGAACACAATGTATAGAACACAATCACATGAGACCATCTTTTCATTAAGCCTTCACCCTCAATTTATAGGGATGATTACAACATTTCACATCCTTTAACATAAGTAATGAAATAGGTAAAGGCTAACAAAAGGTCACAAGTTTAATTGCCATAATAATAAAATATTTATAACATTTTCAAAGTAATTATATAATAATCGACAACAACAAATTCAATATCTTTCTTTCTTTATGTAAGAATCAAATATTATATTCTATGGCAAAAGAAAACTATAACTATTTAACTCTTTGAATTTGATGGGGCAAAGATAGGGCAAATCCGACTAGGTCCACTTTGCATTTTGAACCCTTATTTAAAATGACATTCATATTTGTTCCTAATTAACATATAACGAATTATGTATCTGATCAGTAAATTAATTGAAGACACATAGTTTATTAATTATATACACATAATATGTTAACTACATATAAATAATAGGTTAATTGTAGGCACATAATATGTTAACTACACATTATGTGCATGCAGTTAATATATTATGCGTCTTTAATTCATTATTTACAGAGTAATTTATTAACTGAAAGCACATATTAATTAACAGTAGACACATCAGTTTGAAATAAAGGTTTACCTTAGCTTGGATCCTTGGCCATGGTATATCAATTGTTGAATTAGTTAACCGCTTAAGAGCAACCACATGATGAGTCTAGGTTTTTTGGTGTGAAAGGGAATGAGTAGGGAAGAGGAAAAATATAATAAAAAAAAAAAATGAAAGAGTTCCTTCCACTCAACCACACCCCAAATTTACTAATTAATGATATAGATGGGCAAGATTGGACATGTCTTATATGTCATATACATTCATGGAGGGGCAAATTTCACCGTGAATTGCCCCGGATGACATGACAACGTACAATAATGATACACGCGTTCATGAAATACACGCCCTTAATATTCATATACAATGGATCTATTGATAGTATATTACTAACACCCAGGGACGGAGCCAGAAATTCGGTTGAGGGGGGGCGAAACAGTACAGACGGATTCAGAAATTTTTTCCAAAAAAGGCGAAACATTAAAACAAAAGAGAAAATTTAAAAATAAATAAATAAACTACCTAAGAAATATAATTGTAAATATTGTTGGATATGAACACCAATAATAATTATGCTACTAATATTATACTAATTAACTATACAAGGTAATGATCTTTTATTCTAATATACATAATTTCCTTCTACTAATATGTGATCAATTCTCATCTAATATTACCTCCAAATTGATTATTTCATTTTAGACTTCCACCTAATTGAGCGACCAATTATTTATTTCTTTTTGTGTATCACTCTCCACCCATTAAAAAAATATATTGACCTCAAGTTGTAAAGAGTGATAAAATAGGACCATATTTGTGCACGGAAGTTCATGCCACCCCGGTAGGCGGTGGATTCCTAGAACATGTTAAATTTTGGAAGATTAATCTTCAAAACAAATTGATGCCCAGAAACAGGGGGATCAAATTGCTCAATTCCCATTAATGGTGAAGCAATATTAGAGAGCAGAAAATATGTAAATTCCACCTATGTAAAATTGTGTTCCAAATGAGAGACATGGTAAAGGCAGCAAATACAATACTTGACACAATGAAAATTCCTAAAATCCTTACTTCTCCTTCAATTTTAATAGCAGCATCGCATTGTTCAGTAATCAGCTTCCCATTCAGCAACTTATCAAAACAATGCAATGATTTTGGGGATTTCGAACAAATTAAGATTCTACCCACGGTTGAGAAGCCGAATGATTTTGTGGGGAGATATTAATAGCAATGTAAAATAGAGATCAATGAAACTTTTAAAGAATTTTTTTTTTTCATTTTTTCCTTTCCTCAAATAATTTCTCTATAAGTTTCTTTCGTCGCCAAAAAAAAATAAAAAATCAGTGTATCCAATAGATAAAGCTAGGACAAAAAAACGAAACTAGTAGTGTCAAAAAATATAAATATTTGCAACTAAATATAAATTTAAAAATCATTTCTATATATGAACCTTAAAAAAATCGTATAATACTCCAATAGCGATATTTTGTAATATAATATTAACCAAATGGCACCTAAATATAATATATCACCACTCTAATAAAAACATTCCATACAGATCCGAACACATGAACTAATGCAGAACATATATATGGCAAATGAAGTATTTTCTGGCAATTTGACCAAATGGACCAAAATTGATACAAATTGAATAGTTAAGGTACTAAATTGTTAGTTTTTAAAGTCGTGGATTGAAATTAATAACACCACAATAGTCGCAGGACCAAAAGTGTAATTTACTCTTATGTGTCTTCAATTCATTATTTACAGAGTAATTTATTAACTGAAAGCACATATTATATTAACAGTAGACACATCAGTTTTAAATAAAGGTTTACCTTGGACCCTTGGCCATGGTATATCAAATTTTGAATTAGTTAACCGCTTAAGAGCAACCACATGATGAGTCTAAGTTTTTTGGTGTGAAAGAGAATGAGTTGGGAAGAGGAAAAATATAAGAAAACAAAAAAAAAGATGAATGAGTTCCTTCCACTCAACCACACCCCAAATTTACTAATTAGTGATATAGATGGGAAAGATTGTACATGTCTTATATGTCATATACATTCATGGAGGGGCAAATTTCACTGTGAATTGCCCTGGATGACATGACTACATACAGTAATGATACACGCGTTGCTCAACAAATTTTATAGAATGTTTAGACCACAAATAGTACCGTAACGAGTAGGAAACTTTTCGAGCATGATTCTAGTGTTAAAAAATATAAATATTTGCAACTAAATATAAATTTAAAATCATTTCTATATATGAACCTTAAAAAATCATATAATACTCCAATAGCGATATTATGTAATATAATATTAACCAAATGGCACCTAAATATAATATCACCACTGCAATAAAAACATTCCTTACGGAACACATGAACTAATGCAGAACACATATGGCAAATGAAGTATTTTGTGGTATATGTTCAGAATATCTATAGAATTGATATGATCCTCGAAAGTATAGAAAGATAACAGAATTCAGAATATCTATAGAATTGATCCTCGAAAGATAACAACAAGATATTAATAGCAATGTAAAATAGAGATCAATGAAACTTTTAAAGAATTTTTTTTTTTTCATTCTTTCCTTTCCTCAAATAATGACTCTATAAGTTTCTTTCAGTCACCAAAAAACAAAATCAAAAAAATCAATGCATCCAATAGTTAAAACTAGACAAAAAAAAATTAAAAATAAAAATAAGAAACTAGTATTGTCAAAAAATATAAATATTTGCAACTAAATATAAATTTAAAAATCATTTCTATATATGAACCTTAAAAAAATCATATAATACTCCACTCCAATAGCGATATTATGTAATATAATATTAACCAAATGGCACCTAAATATAATATCACCAATCACATAAAAACATTCCACACGGAACACATGAACTAATGCAGAACATATATGGCAAATGAAGTATTTTCTGGTAAATGTTCAGAATATGTATAGAATTGATATGATCCTCGAAAGTATGGAAAGATAACAAAATTCAGAATATGTATAGAATTGATCTTCGAAAGATCGATAACACCAAAATATTATTTCAGTCTTGACTACTCAAATCCAAGTTGTAGAGAAAATGTGATATTAAGGGAAATGTAAAACAATAGATTGCAATTGTATTCCCTTAGCTTCGCAACATAAATTGCAGCAGCCAGCAGAGCAGCTACAAAAGACAATAGCAAAACTATATTAAAAGCATATCAGACAAATGTAATTGTTTCTAAAATAAGTTTGTAATATGTATAAGAGAACAGAAGAAAAGAAGGGTTGCGAATTATTCAAACAGTTTGAAGCAATAAATAAAACAGTTCTATCAATCAATATAATGAAGCTGTCAAAGGAATGAATCAAATTGATCTGATCGAAGTGGAAAATTTTTATAAGGAGAATATGGAAAGGTAAAGGAATAAAGGGAAAATAATAATGTCAAAACTATACACTATATATATATATATATATATATATATATAGATAGAGAGAGAGAGAGTAAAGCCTAGCTCCAAGATACACTTAGAGACTTAATGAAAGGCTAATTTAAGGGAGCAACTAATGTAACTCTTTTAATATTCACATAACTTATTTGAGAAATCCCGGCCTCATACAAAATTATTATATTCCGCCAAAGTAGTAAAAAAAAGGAAATAAGACACATGATCAAGTTTAAACAAAATTAGTGACGGTGCAATAAAAGGACAAAATTAAAGTCTACCTCCAAGTGGCAACTTAATTTAATTTGGGATCCAGTGAACATAAAGTTAACTATATATGAAGTTTGTTAATGATGTATATATAGAAAATAATGGATCGGAATTACAAAATATTGTATTCAACCTAACCTAGCTAGCAATATAAAGTTGAGTATGAAGTTTAATAAAATAATACAAATACAAAAGAACCAGAGGATTGGATATAAGAATGTATGTCTCTCCATCTAAGTTATGCTAAGGGACATATATTAAACACTTAAATTAAAGGATCAATCGGACCTCATCTAATTAATTTTCACATAAAATTAAAGCAAGCCTCCTTTGCTTTGCTTCTAGAACCTTATTCCAAAAACACTTTAACTCCTCCTGATAGGATAGTGCCTAATTAAGCAATATAATGGTTAGTGTGGGATATGACATTGGACTCACTAATTTTACTCCAAAATGGAATGGAAGCTAAGCATGCAGATGCAGTGAAATAAATAAGTTTCAAGTCACATTTCAAATTAACACTCCTTTCCATCTCCACATTTTATTCAATTTGTTTATCCATATATGCATCACATGATTTTACTTAATCGACATTATTAGCTAGGCATTTATATATTTAAGTTTACATTCCAATTTCGATCAGTTTTTCTATCTGTCCATATATAAACATATTGTATAACACATAAACCACAATCATCACTTTGTCCAATCCAGTCATCAACAAACCAAAAGTGCACAAATAATGACCAAGATATTAATAGCAATGTAAAATAGAGATTAATGAAACTTTTAAAAAATTTTTTTTTTCATTCTTTCCTTTCCTCAAATAATGACTCTATAAGTTTCTTTCAGTCACCAAAAAACAAAATCAAAAAAATCAGTGCATCCAATAGTTAAAACTAGACAAAAAAAAAAAAGAAAAAAAAAAGAAACTAGTATTGTCAAAAAATATAAATATTTGCAACTAAATATAAATTTAAAAATCATTTCTATATATGAACCTTAAAAAAATCATATAATACTCCACTGCAATAGCGATATTATGTAATATAATATTAACCAAATGGCACCTAAATATAATATCACCAATCAAATAAAAACATTCCATACGGAACACATGAACTAATGCAGAACATATATGGCAAATGAAGTATTTTCTGGTAAATGTTCAGAATATGTATAGAATTGATATGATCCTCGAAAGTATAGAAGGATAACAGAACTCAGAATATGTATAGAATTGATCTTCGAAAGATCGATAACACCAAAATATTATTTCAGTCTTGAGTACTCAAATCCAAGTTGTAAAGAAAATGTAAAATAGAGATCAATGAAACTTTTAAAGAAATTTTTTTTTCATTTTTACCTTTCCTCAAATAATGACTCTATAAGTTTCTTTCGTCGCCAAAAAAAAAATAAAAAATCAGTGTATCCAATAGTAAAGCTAGGACAAAAAAACGAAACTAGTTGTGTCAAAAAATATAAATATTTGCAACTAAATATAAATTTAAAAATCATTTCTATATATGAACCTTAAAAAAAATCATATAATACTTCAATAGCGATATTATGTAATATAATATTAACCAAATGGCACCTAAATATAATATATCACCACTCTAATAAAAACATTCCATACAGATCGGAACACATGAACTAATGCATGGCAGAACATATATGGCAAATGAAGTATTTTCTGGTATTTTCTGGCAATTTGACCAAATGGACCAAAATTGATACAAATTGAATAATTAGGGTACTAAATTATTAGTTTTTAAAGTCGTGGATTGAAATTAATAAAACCTCAATAGTCGCAGGACCAAAAGTGTAATTTACTCTTATCTGTCTTCAATTCATTATTTACAGAGTAATTTATTAACTGAAAGCACATATTATATTAACAGTAGACACATCAGTTTTAAATAAATTAAAGGTTTACCTTGGACCCTTGGCCATGGTATATCAATTTTTGAATTAGTTAACCGCTTAAGAGCAACCACATGATGAGTCTAGGTTTTTTGGTGTGAAAGAGAATGAGTAGGGAAGAGGAAAAATATAAGAAAAAAAAAAAAGGATGAATGAGTTCCTTCCACTCAACCACACCCCAAATTTACTAATTAGTGATATAGATGGGCAAGATTGGACATGTCTTATATGTCATATACATTCATGGAGGGGCAAATTTCACTGTGAATTGCCCTGGATGACATGACTACGTACAGTAATGATACACGCGTTGCTCAACAAATTTTTTAGAATGTTTAGACCACAAATAGTACCGAGTAGGAAACTTTTCGAGCATGATTCTAGTGTTAAAAAATATAAATATTTGCAACTAAATATAAATTTAAAATCATTTCTATATATGAACCTTAAAAAATCATATAATACTCCAATAGCGATATTATGTAATATTATATTAACCAAATGGCACCCAAATATAATATCGCCACTGTAATAAAAACATTCCATACGGAACACATGAACTAATGCAAAACATATATGGCAAATGAAGTATTTTGTGGTATATGTTCAGAATATCTATAGAATTGATATGATCCTCGAAAGTATAGAAAGATAACAGAATTCAGAATATCTATAGAATTGATCCTCGAAAGATAACACCAAGATATTAATAGCAATGTAAAATAGAGATCAATGAAACTTTTAAAGAATTTTTTTTTTTCATTCTTTCCTTTCCTCAAATAATGACTCTATAAGTTTCTTTCAGTCACCAAAAAACAAAATCAAAAAAATCAGTGCATTCAATAGTTAAAACTAGACAAAAAAAAAATAAAATAAAATAAAATAAGAAACTAGTATTGTCAAAAAATATAAATATTTGCAACTAAATATAAATTTAAAAATCATTTCTATATATGAACCTTAAAAAAATCATATAATACTCCACTCCAATAGCGATATTATAATAATAATATAATATTAACCAAATGGCACCTAAAT